ACACAGAAGCTATATTTATATTTGAAAATTACTTATTACGTTCTGTTTATTTTCTTAATCAGGAAACTAGAAACTTCTTCTTAGAAAATAATTTTCTTACTAAATTTTCCAAATTTTGTGTTGTCAATATATTTGAATTGTAATCCAGCTTACTGTGATTATTGAGAATATCGACGGCGACATATCCATAACATGGAGATATGTTTTCTTGAAGTGGTGAACACACTTTAAAATGCTTCATAGCCTTTGTTAATTATTATTACATATTTGATATATGTTATCCGATCCTGTAGAGGTTCTGCTCTAAGTACAAGTATCTTATTTTTTTTACACAGTTCATTGAAATAGAATTTTTTACGCCTCTGTTTATGAAAGTTCATTGCTTTCAATTAATTTTAATAATATATTTATACATTTTTATGTAAAATAAAATCTTAAATAAAAAAAACTTTAATAAAAAACCTGTAAATCGACTACATACGTTGCAGATACTTTTTGCTCCTTCTGACTTATTAGCATTTGAACTGGTTAATATTTTTTTGTGAACCAAATGTTTTGCTCATTAATATCAATTTCTATCAAAAAATAATAAACAAAATTAGTTAAGTGTATTTTAAAAATCAGTACGAATATATTTAGGCCAATTAAGAATTAAATAAAGAGCAAAATTCTAAATGTGTAAATTTTGTACATTGGAATTATAGTCTTTTTTAAATAAACATATGTACATACGTATATCTTGTATTATACAAGATCCATTCATATTAACCTTACAATTACAGTTTTAATAAAATTAAATTAAAATATGGTATACCTACTAAGAAAGCCCATAAATTTGTTATATTTATAAAATTTAATGGTTAATATAGAAGTATTCATATTTACTATTTACGACTCTGGGTTTAATTAGCATAATTTCTGTCTGTATCAAAAGATTTAAGATTTCCAAATTAGTGGATATTAATCTTTGTTTACAAAGTGTGATAGATTATCTTCTCGCATCATTTCTAATTGATCTATCTAATTTTATCTATCTAAGAGTTTATCTATCAAGCTGGATACTTACATATGAGTAATTATGAATTTAAATGTGTGCTTCTGAACTTGTTTTTAGATATTAATTAATTAAACATTAAGAAAACATATCAATAAAAAACAATTCGAAATCGAAATTTTAAATCAATCAACATGCTAAATCAGACCTTGGCATAAAATACGTGCGCTGAATCGTACTTTTAAGCAATAGCCAATGCCAGTTATTTGACACTGCTCAAATTACTATCTTATTTACTTTATGTAGTAAAAGGAAACATATACACCAAAATTAATTACATGACCAATATCGTATGATTGCATAATGTAAAATAATGTAAATAACTAAATTGTCAAAGTTTATATGCTTTGCTTTAAAGACTTTTAATGACGCGTAAAGCATTTCTCGTCATTAAATCATAGTCTATCTATGACGCAATCCTAACTGTTAGTTATATAACAATTGTAAACAGAACTAAAAGTAATATCAGAGTTACTTATTTAAAGGCAGTTTTGGATTTGCTTGATTTACACCATAAGTCATTTAATTGTAAGGATATAGTAAGCTATTATACAAATCATTATGCAATACGAAAAATCCACTGAATTTTCCTTTGGGTATAATTTCATCTAAGATCGTGGTGTTTGTATTTCTAGGAAGATTATATTATTGAACTATATCTCTCTCACTGAGTCTATTTATTCTCCAAATGCAAAAACCTCGAGACCAGCTATTTTGATTTAAGTCTTTTTAATTTTCTATACAAATTAGATAAATCTGAAATAAAATCAATATTGTATCTTTATCTTTATTTTTCAGATAATTTTGTTATAATTTTGTTATTTTCAAAATAATAGATAAAAAGTAGTATCTTGTATTGAAAATATAATTGAAGTATGAATAAAAGCAATATCGATCGTTTAGATATTGTACACCTGTTCTGGTGGACCAAACAAGGCTATTACTTGGGAACACACCACAAAATTGCACAAAACTTTAAATGATCTTAAGTTGAATATGTGTGAACTGGGTTTTGCATTTACATTGGTCATTAGAAAGCTGTTATTGAAGTGTGTTGCCAAATGTTAACGGAGTCAGGCACATTCCCAATGCGCAGCTTCCTGATAACAAAAAGTTATAGGGAATTATAGGTTTACTTTAAGTTCCGTCTTCTCTTTATTAATGAGTTCTTCGCAGTATCTTAAGTATATAGTCACTAGTCAGTGGTTTTCTGTATGTATTTAGTTGTTGAAAGTAATTATTTTGTTTCGTCGTTGTGACAGAAAGCGTTATTTAAATTTTTTTTTTTTAATTTTCTTTATAAATGAAACTTCCTTAAACTTCCTTACTCTATAACCTTAATTCAAAGCATTTAAAGATTTTTAAATGGTCCCCCCTGTCTGTGTGGTATCATGGAACCCCCTGCCCATTGTCTGGTTCCATGATAGATGTATTATAAAACTTTCCTTTTATTTTGTCGTTTATTATGATAAATTCTTTCGTTTATCAATTTATAGTTATCTTACCTTTTTATAATACCTTTTTTGTTCCTTTATTTTATAATATATAAAAGTGGCGTATTGTGCCATCTGAAAACACTATCAAATTTTGTTTTTGTTTGCTATTTTATATCCTGCTGGGATAGCATGTCCATTTCATGCATATTGGATTTATGCATCCGCGATTATCTTAAAGGTTGGAAGATAATGTTTAAATTCTTTTTATTCAATCCAATATTTGATGTTGTTGATGACAAAAAAGAATTTTTTCTGGATGAGGATTTGAATATCATTCCAAATTATAACATAATTTCAGGTGCATATTAAATGTATTAATTTGATATTCATGTTTATGTGGTATAGTGAACCGCTTATTATGAATAAAACGAAGGATGACTACATCCTTCTTAGTATACAGACACTACTAAAGATCACTTTATTAGTCTTTGGTTTTACAATTTAGGATTCCATTAGGTTGGCATAAATTTGTAGGTATGATGACTTACAAGATGGTATTATAAGGTAGATATAGGTCTGTAGTTAAAGTCGGGTTTATGACGTTAATTACATTATAGAATTTATAAGTCATGTTTTAAAGGATTACGTGGAGAATATGAATGTCGAACATTCTTTATATGTGATCAAACAAAAAGTTCTTACGAAAGATACACGTTTAGAATAATAACAACAATTTTTTCTCGTCCTATGCGCTTGGACCATTTATTTATTCCAAAATACATTGCAAAACAAGGTAATTGGGATCACGTTTGTCACATGGTAGTACTCATGTAATTTAATCATCAGCTTGTTTCTTTTATAAACATTTATTTTAAAATATAAATTTTTCGTTAATGTTAAATTTAAATAGTTAAAGAGCCAGTGTTATCATAAACTCGTATTGGCATATAAAGTGTGCTGAGCTGTACCTCGATATGGTGTCATTACAGGGTTAAAGTATGCGCTTCTAAATTTTCAAAATACAAAGTTTCGTTTTTTATCCAATAAAATGATTGGTTTTGTTACAAAAGTTTACGAATTGGTTCAGATACATAAGCCAGAAATAAATGTTCTAGATATTTAGGTCACATTTTTATGAGTCGGAAGATTTACGAGTATTGGTACTGTAAAAATTATAGATAACGATAGATTGATGTTTCAAGCTACTTGCAGAATTCAAAGAATTAACAATTGAAATATGGAACTGAAAAATAATTTTTATTTAAAAAAGCTTTGCTGATCTAGTTGGTTGTGTCGCTGTTACAGTTTCTGCAAATGATTTTTTAAGTGTTGTTTGAAGCATCCACCAGAGTTTGCCGGGTGTTGACGTAGATAACATCTTGATCTGTTCGTTTCCTATATCTTTGGGTTGCACTACAATTGGTAGCTGAATTCCTCTCCTCGGCTGGTGTGATTCGATTTACACGCAAAGGTCGCACACGTACTTGATAAAATTTCGTTTTCGTTATTTTGAAGTCTGGCTTTTAACATGTTGGAGTTGATATCGGTTTTGAATCTAACGTATTGACATTCATACGGATGAAACGTTTGATCCTTCTAGACATCTTTTTTCGTTTGCTGGAATGCCGCTTAAGCATTTTATTACCAAATTCATATGTTTATTCTCAGGGAGAAAATACGTATGGTACGGCAACTTCATTTCATTTTGGTGTTCCGGTGCCCATCTGTCGTTCGAGATATGTGGTTATATTTAGATTCTTAAGCGTGCTAGTTTGGCCTTTTTTTGTTGAATTCTGATATTCGTTTTGCTGTTGTTTGATTATTTTACTATTCTTTGTTATTGTTGGGGAATAAGGATCGTTGTCTATGTTTTCCTGGAAATTCAGTTTTTCTTATTTTTCTGATGTAATGATCGATACTGCTATTGTTGGTTTAGTGTTCTGCTGCTTGTTTTGTTCCAGTTCGTTATTGTTTGCTGTTTCTTGATTATTTTCTGGGGCTATATTTGCCTCGACTTCGTCTTCTGGTTCAGTAATGTAAATCCAGAAGGTCAAATTCTTCTTTTTGGAGATGGTGGTGAACATTTGGCTCTTTTCCTTTTACTATTCTTACTCTATTTTCATTTACCGTTGAGATTTTTAATCATTTCCTTTAGGTTTGTATTCCTAGCTCGCTAGCTAAATTTATCATATTTATTGTTGATATCTGAAGCTTTCTGGTACCCCTGTAGTTTTGCCAGTAAAAGGTTCATATCAATGTTTAATGTTTCTGAGACCTGTATTTTGCTGTCTGCCATTTTTATGTTTTTATTTATGTTGTTTGCAGGTATTTATTTCAGCTTCTTTCTTGAAAATGTTTGACATTATTTTCGTATTTATTTTATTTTTCATTTTTATTTTTATTGTTTTTTTATTTCATATTAAACAACTGAATTGAAAAAATTTACAACATACAATTTTTTAATAACATTGTATGCAAACTAATTCAAGTATTTATATCTTTGTTGTTAGGCTGATGATTTATTCGAAGATATCTTGCAAATAGACTCAAATAATTTAAATGATTCACTAAGATTTGATCAGAACTTTTCAAGCGATTTGTCAATAAAACAAGAGCCTCAATCTCTCAGTGAAGCGGAAATGCATGCTTTGGCCAAGGATCGCCAAAAGAAGGATAATCACAATATGAGTAAGTTAACTGCTGACCATTTATATATGTACACTTGTAACAAAATATTAATTTTTATCAGTTGAAAGACGTCGTCGTTTTAATATTAATGATCGCATAAAAGAACTAGGTACTCTCTTGCCAAAAACAAATGATCCGTATTATGAGGTAGTGCGAGATATTCGTCCTAATAAGGGCACAATTCTTAAATCCTCTGTGGAATTTATAAAAATTTTAAAGCATGAGGTATCGCGACTTAAACAAAGCGAATACCGACAGAGGCAAATGGAGGTACAGAACCGACGTCTGTTAAATAGAATTAAGGTAATTTTTTGATTTCTGCTTCAATGTTACATACATATTTTCACTAAAATATTAATTTAAATTTACAGGAATTAGAGATGCAAGCAAAATCACATGGAATAGCACTAACTGATTTTAACTTATCGTCTGCTTCAGCTCCCACACCAATAACATCTTATCTTAATAATGCTACTTCGTCTACACCAGCACATAATAATAGATCGACTCCATTAATAGCTGATATTATCGATAAGGTAAAATAAAAGAATATAAAAAACTATTGAAAATAACAATATTATATTTTTGCATAGCTGCCAGTTATCGGAAGTGAGACAAATATTAGTATTAATCAAATGGATGAGCTTATGGAAGAAAACAAAAACCCAGTTCAGGGCAACGATCCAATGTTGTCGTTACAACATGGTACTAATTTATTATCTGCGTCACATTCACCAACATCACATACGTGTAATGTTACATTGCCTACTAAACAATGCCTACATAATCACAATGTGCCAAATTCTTCCAATGGTTTGTATCAAGAAAATTCTTCAACTACGTCATCTGATACTTCAGCTTACTTAAAGGGCAGTGAATGTTGTAACAAATGTAATATTCTCAAAAGCACACAGATACAACACAACGATCATCATCACTGCCAACAACAATGCATGCAAAATTGCTTTCATATTATAGAAAACTGCAATAGCAACAAAATGCAGCCAACATCACCAACAACTTTACAGCATGGACGTGACCCCTTATTGTCTGCCTCTTCGCATTTGGACACATTAGAAAAAAATCAACTACATCACCCCAACGTAGTGGATCTTGATGCTACGATTCTTAATGATTCTTTGTCCTTGGTGACCGCTTCTCACGGTGAATCAATATTTTCAGATTCATTAGATATTGACATACCATGATAATAGCAGTCAAAATTACTATTACTTACTCAATTTAGTCAGGACTATGTTATGCAGACAATCATATGACGAATGGTTACGGCAGTATACGTGCCCATCTCAGCATGTTGCATAGATAAATTAGAGTTATTGGTTTCGTACTATTAGTATTATTTTGATTTGTGTATATTGGTTGCTCCTCAATTTAAAATGTTAATTTTCTTAAGTAAAAATATACATACTTGCTTAAGAGGCGTAAATTCTGACATTTATTACTGCACATTAAGCCTCGTCACTGTGACCAAAGTTTAATTGAAATTGGTCTCTTGCTCTTATACTCAAATTACTCTTCAAATTTCACATTTGTCGTGATCATGACTGTCTGCATAACATGGTCCCTAAGACTTACACAACAAGTCCCTAAGACTTGTTTACATATGGATTTTCAAAGTAGATCAAATTGTTTGTTAAAAGTGTTCGATCCTAATAATATCAGAGGTAACTAAATCATATATCTTAACTAGTATATATTTTTTTTTATTTGACAAACTGTTATAATTTTTTTTGCCTTTTGCATCTTTCACATACTCGTAACCCGTGTAAAAGACACGGAAAGACAATATTACACGTTGACATGTAAAGTTAATTGTTGAATTCCGCAAAAAATTATTTTTTTTTTGTTTTGCGTTTGTTTAAATAATGAATTGCACTTGTCTGAATAATTGTAAATTGTCTTCTATTTTGATTTTGGGTTCGCTCTTGTTTGAATTTTATTTTATTTATTACATGTTATAAATTAAATTTTCTCAATAGTCTCAATAAGTATCTTATGCCTTGATTAAAATTTTCAAAATGTTTGTAGTTTTGAGTTCAGGTGTGAAAACGTTATACAAGGATACGTGCCTACGTTAAAATAATTGGTCTGTTCTGCGAGCTACTCGCTACTGTGTATACACAAATGTGTTCCACCACCAAATTTTCGTGTATTTTCGTGTAAATTTTACTTGTGTTTTACTTGAGTTTTACTACGAGTAGCTCGTGGAACATACCTAATGAAAAAATTGGATCTTTTATCTTTTAAACTCTTTTAAAACAGCTTCTCTACCTCTCTATTTTAGATATTTAGGGTTATGTCACAAAATTTATGTACCATATATTCACTTGTGGGTTTTGGGACCAAATAAAATTAATTAATGCGATAAATTGTTTTCAATATAGATTATTAGTTTAGTTTATTTGCTATTAATTAATGTGATACATTTTTTTCATACTGTATTGCATTACAAGAGAAGTTATTATCAAAACACTGTTCAATATATATATATATATATATATTTGTAGCATAATAGTTATAAAATCAAACATCTTATGAATATGTAGGAAGCGCATTAACCCATTTATAGTCGATTTGTTAGGTGAAAACATAAAATATGGGTATTCAAGCGTGACAATTTATCCCAATCGGACTCCTTTATTTTAACAAAGTACGGAAAGCAACATTTTTATGCTTTTATCTAATACATACCATAGTACCTAATTAATTGTTTTCAATTACCAATCATACTCACAATAATGAATACACATATGAATTAACAAAATTTGTTTCACAGATTGTATTTCTGTATGCTAAATCCACATATCTATCAATCTTGTCAAATTTTACATTATAAACATAATTGGATCTTATACGGATATATTTTGCTTCTTATGAAAAGATCCAACAAATACTACGTACAAATGTTGCAAAAATAAAAACGTTGTATATTCTTTCTATAGAAGTAAATTAAGAATTAACTTGTTTCGAGTTGTTTTGGGACATTATTGTAACTACTGGAACTTATTCAGTTGTGGTATTGCGGGGCAGTTCTACAAAACACATTTAGGTAAACGGAGTGTCAGTTTTTTCAGCACTTAAGTGCAATGCAAAATATTTATTGAATATATTTATGGAAATATATCATAGGCATAAACGCAGTTGTATGAAAATTCAAAATACGAAATGCAAAATTCAATTTTAAATACTAAGTATAAACACACCAATTTTAATTGCCAGACAAGTAGTCCAAATTCTTTTAATTTCCTAATCCGTATTTAGTCAAAGTTTTAAGCCGACTTTTTAATGAAGTTTTAAAACAATAATTTTTAATTTTATTTCTTAATATAAGTTCAAACTTGTGTTATTCCAAGAAAAATTAATTTTAGAAAGACAATTAAATAATGTTTAGCTATATAAGGAAATTTAGACGCCTATATTACACCTTCTGAGTCATAATTGTGTAAAAGAAAATAATTTTTCTCTCCAACGCAAGATACACGTTTGTTGTTGTTTTGCTGTCAAAAATAAAAACTTTTTTGGCTATGACGGATCTAGAGATCCGATGTCGGATCTAGAATCTACAACAGTAAAGGACAAAGAGACAATAAATGAATAGCGTTCGTCTTTTTTTTATTAAATAATTTGTTATGTTTCAAAGGTCCTTCCTAATGAAACGGTTTGTAAAGTAAAAATAAATTATATGCTTGGTTTGCATATCCTAATATATTATTTAGTTATCTCTGGTAACACACATGCATCTGAACAAGAGAGAGAATGAAGAGAGGAAGAGTTGATTATTGTAGTGAATTCGACATTTAAGTCCATGCTCTACAGAGGGGTATGAACGCGACAGAGTATCGGGCTTATTAATTTTGTATTTAGATCAAAACTTTTCAGTACTTGCTTTAAATTGCAATGTAAATTCAGTTGTTGGTAATATTTTGATATTTTGTTGGTAGTTAAGCTATTCCAATGATATGAATGTAGTAAGTCCTTTTCGTTACTTTGACATCGATATATGTATTCTCTGGGCCACGGACATATTTTTCACCGCGTTTAAAACAGAATTAATGTTTTAAATATTAGGTGTGTTGCCATAATGACTAATAATACAATTAATCTTTGTTTTCTATATATTTTGTAACTCTGAGTTTCAAAACCAAACGCAGCTAGAAAAGTCTGCACATAGCAATCTATTATAAGTATAATGGCTATCTGCTCTTCATATTATACAAAAATATATAATTTTACTTTAAAAAAAATCATTTATTTGCCAAAAACTAAAAACAATGGTGCTCAAATATTTGACTTCGTCCTGAACGACACATTTATCGAATTTTAACGAAACAAATTAGTTAGCACGATTAAAAAAAAATTGTTGGAAATGTTGCTACAGAGAGAACCCTTCTTTCGTTAAAATACATTAAATGTATAATGTGTCGGCCTGGACTTAGCTTAATTTATGTGTGTTTATGTCAATTATTTACTTTTTGGCTTATTTATAAAGCAATTTAGATGTAAGTGTATAATTAAAATTGTATAGAGTCACCAATTTTGCACATTACGTCAAGTTCACAATCACATTGCTCATAAGAAAATGTTTACTTAAGACAATAATATATATAGTAATTATATAAATTCTATATACACCGTATACGGGTATATTTAATATTTTAAAATAGTACAAGTTCCTGGAAAGTATTAAGAGTTTTATTATATTAATAAATATACTATAATACAATACATGTATATATATATGTATATATATCTAAATCAATAAAATGGATGCTCTATACGCTAGAGGCTGTTCGAACGATATAAAGAGTTTCAATGACAGAGAATCAAAAATCATATAAATATATTATTGTAATAAATATTTTGAATTTTATTAGCTAATTATTTAATTATTCAAAGAACATAATTGCAACGGATTGGGTTCAGTTCTTTTAGCAAAAAAATATCTGGTCACGTGAACTAGAAATTGAGGTGTTTCACAATCTGGTATGGAACGTAATTAATGAAGAATGTGGTTGGGAATGCGACGGAAGCATACAGTCGTAAGCATAAAGGTAAAATAAATATCATAAACAAATGTATAAAAAAAAAGTATAGCAAAACAACGAAGTTTTTTGCCAAACGAAAGAACGTATACTTCCGCTTACAGGTGACTACGTTTTCCCAAGGATTTATATGTTTAGTTCTTCCAACAGGATAACAAAGTTCTGCAAATTTCAAGAATCAGCAAACACATGTAACGACATATACTGTAAAGGTAACTTCACCTAGTGATGGAAATTACAAATACTGCTTGGAAGTGTAACAAGACCCATCTTTTTTTTTTGATCAATTTCAACGCTTTGTGTTTTTTTCTTTATGTAATGTTTTTGAGTAATTAATTTTTTTTTATTAAATTATCTATTTTCTTCATTAATTGTTGTTTTTTTTTTTAAATTCATATATTTAAATTTTTTTTCTTTTTTTTCTTAAGGTCTCTTTATTAGGTAAGGTTATATTGACGATCCAAAGGGGATCCACTTAGGCCTACTGACCTATTGTGTTACTGTATAATAGAAAAGCTTATGGTTTAAAACCACCTAACGCTAACGGGTAAAGACAAAGCAGATGCGAGGCACTTTCATCCATTTCCCCACAGCTGCGACAGGTATAATTGAAGGGGAGATTCAATCTTCTGGCATGGTTACCTACTCTACAATGAACTGTAAATAAACTTATCACAAGACTAACATCTCTACGGGATCTCAATGAGAGAATTGGATCTCCTTCTAGTAGAACATGTCCAAATTGCATACAGGTGCCTATATATCCCGTCTTTTATTGTAAAGTACAGAAGGGACACAGTAACAGTTTGAATACTGTTAACTATATGCCCAGATTGTTTAGCTGTTCCGAATGAAGTCCTAAAGTATTCCTTTTGACTAGCACGTATGCTTTACAATTGCCGAAAATATCTCTTTGATCGGGAACCTAGATTAGAGAAATGCTGACCTGCGTCAACATTGGACTCAACTCAAGGACTTTAAAGTAACTTGACTGTCTGACAGTATGTATATATTCCTGTTACATATGCCATCTACTTTGAGATAAGCTATAGCTTCCCTAATGACGATCACTTTCGCTTGTAAAACACTATAATATGGCTCTCAAATGTCTCTAGACGCAAATACAACATTGAATTTTCTGTCGAAGCTGAGAATGGGAGAGATGTGGTCAATTTTGTGAAGATTAGGATTGAATCAGCTTTTGGCTGAATCTTATTTAGTACTGCACAGTATAAAGAATTGTCAAGAGCACTCCGCCGGTGGTGCTACACAAGAGTAATGTTCTAATGCCAGCTATATACAGCCATTAAGTGATACGTGGTTGTAACCCTCACCTTTTACCAATAGCTTTTTGACATAAGAGCAGCGCAATATTAGTTTCCCTACTGTGCCCTAAGGTATTCTGCTTCCAAGTAAGTTTTCTGTAGAAAAACTACCTAGTAATTTTGGGTCCGCAGTAAATTGTTTCGCAAAACCTTGTAGAGTGGTTGGAAAAAGACTGGGAGCTCTATGTTTTCTGGTAAAGACTACGATTTCGGTTTTGTTGGGGTTGACACCAATTCCAAAATTCAGCGTCGCGGTATTTATAGATATTTTACAAGCATTTGATTAAATACGGCATGAGAGCCTTCTATTCAAACTAAAACTAAATATATCCCTCAATTTATTTATATTTATTAAATCATACCTCTCGGCACTGTTTCACTAAACATGGTAATTAAACTACAGAATTGGACAAATGCTTTATCTTTTATCTTTTATGTATTTCAAATCTTCTCTTTATCATTCAGAGTGTAATCGGTACATTTGCGGACGACACAGCTGTTTTATCAGTTAACAATGTTGCTCACTGGATGAAAAATTGGCGTATGCAAACAAATTAATCAAAATCTGTCCAAGTAACATGAACAACAAAACGTTTTACCTGTCCGACATCGAATTATGAAGAACTACGCTCATCGCATGTATGTTATATGCATCCAAACGTATTGGTTACATACCTGATGTCCCCTTCCAACACTTTTACAAGGCTAAGAAAACAGATTTCGATAGACGTTTTAGATATGCATATGTGGGTGAAACATTTTTATTTTAAGTATGTATGGATATGTCACTGGGCATAATCCATACTCGCCTTTTTTTTTAGCTCGTAGTAAATATTATTATTGTGATTTATACTTGGCAGATTGTAATAAAATAAATTAATTATTATTAAAAAAAAATAATGAGGTCATTTTTTGCGACAATCCGTGCGATTTGTAAAAGAATAACCCATATATTATATACTAAATGGTGTAGGCATAGGTGTGTTTTTTTTTAGGACTTTTTAAGAAAA